ATGATTCTAGAATATCATATGGTATTAAATGAAACACCTTGCACAAGTCTAAGTAAATCACATCTACACAGTTACCTTTACCAACCAAAACTTGTAATCTCATCAAAGAATGAAATCAGGTTAGTTTGACAAGATTTGTTTCCATAAAACCAGGTTGACTGGCATTATTTATATTCCTATCCTTTCATTCTTTATCAGTTGAACCCCGTACCAGCTTTTCCGGTATTTTGCCTGGGATTGATGTCAGGATAACTGGCCTATAGTTACTCAAGCACCCTACTTGCCTTTTTTGAATATTGGCACAACATTATCTCCCTCATCCTCCCTCCCCTTGCCTGACTTTCTCTAGACGGACTTTCTATGAGCTTGTATTGTCCAGAAGGAGAGAGCTGGGCAGTTTCTGGGGACAAGTTTGGGACTGGGAGTTTGCTGGTGTCACCCTGTATGTAATTCATGGGTGTTTGGCTATAACACTCATTCAATGTAGCAGGGAGTGATTTACATGCTGGGGGCTGTGTATGAGCAGGCAAGGAGTGGTTGTTCTCACAGCAAAGCAATGTAAAAGGCACCCCAGGTTGGAGAATTGAGGGGACACAGCTGTCCATCTGTCCAGATTGTACCCTGGGGAATGTCTCAGCATCCTAGAGCTGAGACTTAATTAACAAGATACTCTCATGTCTGATAAGGTATTGCTCACCAGCGCTTTACAGCCAGGCTGCCTGTGACCCCTATTCCTTATGACAAAGCACACTGCCAGCTTGCCTCCTTGCTGAAGGATAAAATCTTGTCCCCTCTCCTCTTTTTTTATGCAGTTACAGACATTGTCTCTTCCCCCAAAAGATCCCCTCTTCAAAGACTTTTCTTGGGGTTCCTTTGTCTTTGTAAATCCTCAGGCCCTCATCTGGCCCAGACAGTAAATATAGGCTGTTTCCCCGGATACTCATTGTTCTGTGTGCTAATTGAGTTAGCCCTGAGCCTTAGAATCATAGAATCATAGAATC